TTCTAGCTACAGGTTTATGTATCACTGTCATGATCTGTAGTTACACAATGAGCCTTATCTCTGTTTCTTGCTTCTTTTTCCTAGCCATGCCTTCACAATGCCCATTTGTTGCTTTCACCAGCTCATTTTCTTACATCTTCATTTCACTATCTCTTCTCACCTTAGAAATCTATTTTCTTTAAACAGGAAAATTTTGCATGTGTTGATACTTTTTACCTGTCACCTGTCTGATGGCACAGGTGCTTTTATTTCCCTTTTTCCTTCCTGGAAAGGTTCTGTGCACACTTTGTACATTAGTTGGCAAGGAGTGAGGCTTTTATCCTTTTGAAAAAGAATTCCTAGGCTGAAGAGTTCTATGTGTAGGCACACTAAAGCTATTAGCTGTGTGTACATAAGGGCCCACTTGTGGATAGAAGTGGTTTTTTACACTGTTTCTCTGTACTGATATGTCTAGGATGTGTGAATAACATCTTAGCACTCAGGTACATGTTGAGAATAAATAGAACTTAAATTAGTTTCATTTTCACTCCAGTGGCTGAGATAGTATTGTAAGAGACACTAAGGAATTGCATGAATACATACAGGGTTTAAAAAGTGGCTAAAATATAAGGGCCATTGAGAAACCAGCATCCTTTTTCTTTTCTTATGTGATGACTCAATAGTATTTGTCATTTGCTAATAGTGCCTAACAAATCTCAGCGTGAGGAAGGGGATTCCGGCTGACAGAATTCCCTGTGTTCTTACACTCAACAAACTTACCTGCAGGTGGGGAGGAAGCTGAAACAAAGGGTTAGCTAAGAGAAAAGTCTTTGTTTCTTAATTGATACACATGAAACAAAAGATTTTGACACAGTACATATGGAAACCCACAACGTCGCTTTCAAAGGACACTTTCTGAAATAACTGCAGTTTGTGGGAAAATATGATGTGAGAACATTCAGGTGTCTTTCCTCTGAAAAATTTGTTATTCAATGTGCTCAGGAATCAAAGTGTGACAAAAACTATACAGAATAATGCTTCAAAAGTGGAAGGGCAAAGGATCCAAATTAGAGACAGTCCACGACAAAAGAAAAATATAATCATAAAGGGAGCTTCACATCTACTGAGATATACATCAAGCAGACACCCATCATAACTTTCAAAGACAATATTATTCTTGCAACTCCCAGCTCTCAACTTAATTATTCAGCAGCATGGTTACAATATCTCTTCTTTTCCTTTGCAGAACAGCTGATTTTAATATATAATACTCAGGGAACAACAATTACAAATTGTGAAAAGTAGGGAAGTAACACTTGCAGATAATGGACAGTTACATCAGTTGGGCCAATGACCACATGAAATACAGACTGAATTCTTGTAACTGCATTTGATGTTTGTCCAATCTCTGTTTCTCACTCTCTGATTACATTTCTCTCTTGTGTATGCTACGTTCAAGTTCAGTGACATAAGAACAGAATTAAACCCATTGAAATAATAACAACAATACAGGTAAACAAGTACTTAGAACCAGAAAGGTTTAAAGATTCTTATTAATTTTCTATTTGTGGTCCATTATATCACAGAAGATGTCTTAACTGTACTAAAATTAGCAATACAATGTCTGTGCCTACCAGTGTGTCAGAACCCCCAGTGTGTCAGCAGGAATTCTCTTGTCTGCCTAAGAAAATTATAGGAATCACTGTCTGAGAAAAGACAGCCTTAGATGGTGCTCAGCCCAAACTGAGCTGAATTCCAGCCTCTGAGTTATTTCCCCTGGAAATTGATACTGTTTTTCAATCAACTTTCAATAAATCAGTTACCTTTGCCATGTTATTTCAGAAAGCCTTATACAAGCTTCTGCCAAGAAAGAAGGGTTTGGGCATGACATTAACTTCTATAAGGAATGTCTAGACTAGGATGAAAGTATTTTTTGAGTGAAGATGTACAATGACCTGATTTGCTATATGTTTATCCTGGAAATATTTAAGAGGAACCACAAAACTACTTTTGTCAGGATTTTCCTCAGTCAGTATTCTGGAAAACAAAGTATGTAGGAAATATTTGTGGCATAATTAGTCATATGGGTTTTTCTGGGTAAAAGCAGACATGTTTAATAATCTAATATGTACTGTCTTATAAGGGTCTGCTATCAGTTTTCTTAAATACTTGGAATTCTTGATGTTTATTTTCTGTGAGAATTCTCACAAGTTTTTATTAAAAGCAGAATTTTATCCCAGTAACAAAAAGTTGTTAGAAACTCTGGAAGTGATTTTGATATGAGGAAATCCTCGTTGCATCTCCCATGCCCTTGTTTAGAGAGGCCCTTGTGTGTGTGAGCTCTCCCAGATGCAGAACAGCTTGTCAGCCTTCCTGCAGCCACTGCTGTCAATTCGAGTCACAGTGATCCCTCCTGCATGGATTATCTTAAAATAGCACACTATAAATGAAACCTGCAGTTAGCACAACACCTAGGTGTTTGGTGGGGCAGGATGGCCACAGGAGAGCTGAACTGGTGTCCCTGGTTGGGATTTTCACTGTGTGCACACACTCTTGCAGCAGCACAGCTCCTGTGACTTGCTAAATCCCTAGAAAAATGCAGGGGTGGCTGCTCCTGCTGCTGTCCTTCTTAAACTAAATGATAAACAGGACAGGAAAAACAGAGACTGGAGGGAGAAGCTGAAAGAAAGGAGAGAGATCAATCTAAGCCCTTGTTGGCAGACAGCCATGCTGCCTCACCTTGCCAAACTGCCACCTCCTGCCATAAGGGCCTCCTCTCTTTTCTCTTCCTGTGTCTCCTGCAGTGAGTCACTCCTGCAGACATTATCTTACTTATTCTGTTAGATAATGAAAAACAATGTGTATTTTCATATTCTATTTTACTGGTTATCATTATAGAGTGTACTAAATTACTTACTCTTGCTTTTCCAGATTGTAAACATTATTCTCACACCTTTTTAAATAGACATCTATTGCTGTAATTATGAACATGTTGTGTTTGCACACAAGAATGGTATGGGTTACAGGAGAAAAAATAGCTGTTCTTTTGCAGTGGCAGAAAAACAATTTTCTTCATTTAAACTCTGGTTGGTTTAGTAGGGTTTTAATGACCTGAAGCTAGAAATATTAACAGTATATCTTTACCTAAAATGCTACAGGAAGATTATATTGGGTTGCAGAAGTATTGTATTTGTGCAGAATCTGATTATTTAAGCCAGAGAGTAATGAAATGTGAAACTGATGATGCCAAGTATTCTCTTCAGTCTCTGCAAATGACTTTAGAAATCAAAGAATTGGTCACAGTGAATATATTAAAAAATCACAACAATCACAACAAAATTTTCCAGTGACAAGAGATTCTATACTAAAGATTTGTAACCCCCCATGTAACAGCAAAGAAAACATGAGGAGTAGATAGGCTGAGGTGCATAACCTAGCCTTGAGTACTGGGAAGAGCAGGGCTTAGAAACTCATGAATCATGTACTGGAATTCTGGTGGAACTGGAATCTGATGGGACTTTTCCTTTTAGATTTGCTCTGCAGCTGAGTTGCTCCTTTGGGAGATCTGTGTGCTTTGGCATCAGGGTGACAGAAAACTAGAGAGATTTCAAACACTCTGGGTTCCTTGAGCTGCTTGGAGCCCCACTGTTCCTCTCTGGGAACCTTGCACTAACAGAGGAGGAGCCTCAATGAGCTGAAAATGTCTTGGCTGTTATTAAACCACAAGGGAAGGAGATAAAAATCTCAGATATTGCCACCTACACACTTCTTCCCAATTCTAATAGCTGCTTCAGTGCTGTTCTGTGGCTCTCTCACCGAGTTGTCTGGTGTTTGCTTACTTTTCCTTTTGTGCATTTTATTATCCGGTGTACCAGAGCTCGCCAGGTGACACATTCCAGCCCCAGCCCCAGGATGTGACAGCCATGCTGTATCTAACCCTGGGCTGTATCTAACCCTGGGCTGCTGTGCTCAGACACTCAACAGCATCTGAAAACATTGCTCTTGCTCTGGAAACTCTGGGAGGAGTTCAGTGTAGGTGAAGGCTACTAGACTGATAATTGGAGGGTGATTAAATAGGAATGCTAGTTCTTTTTTGTACTGTGAAACAAGTTTGGGTCTTTTTGCAGCAATTATTATCAGTTGAAACTTCATGAGTTTTCAGACAAAATATTAAGCTCATCTTTTAACTACTGTAAACACTGTAACTCTGAGGGATAGGATAAATCCTTGTTCAAGGAACCATGTTTTAAGGAGAAAGTTGGCACTGAATTGAGGCTTACTGTGAAGCACCTTCAAACATCGTGGAGAAGTGAATTTGACTTTGCAGTTCTGTTACTTTTAAGATTATCTGAGAGGATTATTTGTATTTCTGGCAAAGCTCTGGGAAGCATATAATGCATGTAGAGTGGAGTAAACTTGAGATCCCATTAATCATGTACTTAGCATCTATATTTTTAGGACAGCACATACTTGTGTGATTTTGGCCCATCATTTGTGATCTGTTTGAGGATTCCTGAGAATAAAAAAGCTATATATAAATTTAAGATAATATTATCAGCTGAAGCTCTGCCAGCTTCCATAGACAGATGTAGATAAACAGATACCGTGTACCACTTTGTGGTTTTAATATTGGAAAATAATAATTGCAAAAAATAAAAATAACCTGTCTTGAATTTTATAGTTGCTCTATGTCCTAAATGTTAGATTAGCATTTTTTTTCCAAGTTACCTTGTTTAGATGAGGAAAGAAATGGTAATAAATTAAGTTCACCATTTTACAGAATGTGCTGCTTTCTGGGTTAAAGAACATGAACTAAAATGGCATTCTGGATATACAGTTGCTATGAGCAGTATTGGAATTCTAGTGTTAACAAACCAAGAAAAGTTCTAAAACTACATCTTTGTAACAAAACCTTCAGATGATATAGCTGTACTTGAACAAACCATATCAGTGAGAATGGCACCAGTGAGAAAAGCTTTAATGATCTCCCCAAGTAAAGCAAGGAGGTGGGTGTAACTTACTGTGTCAGCACGATAGCCACAGCATCATTTAGGACACTCTCTCCAAACAGGAGTGTGTACAAATCTGTATCCACATTCAGCTCATGGAAAATAGCAAGGACTGTCACTGCATGGAAAGAAAGCAAAGTGAGTTGGTATTTTCATGTTCCTCTGGCAGTTCAAGAAATAAAGCAATGTTAGAATACAGGTTTGGGAAGCCCAGTCCTATATATTGCCTAAGAGCAATTGCCTAAGTGGACAACAATGAGTTAAGAAGGATCAACTGGAAAATATAAGATCCTTAAATTCATCAAGTCCATGAGTTTTGCTGCTGCAGCTGAGTTAGGAAGAAGCTTTCCCTCTCACACAGAGAATCCTACAGAAATGAAAATGTCACAGCATGTTCACTGTGCATGAAATACTGCGATCTGGTGACCACAGAGGAATAAGCGTGCTGAAAAGAGTTGGGTTTGCTGTGGATTTTGTGTGTGATGAGTAGGGGTCTACCTGTTTTAAGAAGGATATAATAACACTTACCCATCTGTTACACATGTCCACTAAGGGATGTGCAGCATGCCCACCCTGTCCTGCCCCACATTCAGCAAGGATGTGGCTCATGGTAGCCAGGAAGCCTCTGACCAACCAGGATATTTGACACCTACAACCCATTCTAAGGCTCCTTTAGCATACCAGTAATTTCAGTTCCTTCTTTCTCCCTGAGTTATCCCTACATTTGATTTTCAGTTCATCAGTGCAATACAAAAAAAATAGTGTGGTGAATTTAAATTGAAGGTGAGCAAACGATTTAGACACACATCATCAGGAGTATTCAGACATTTGGTTCCTATTCAGGTAATTAAATCCTGTAGATATTAACTTTGGCCTTCTCTGTTTTTCCCTCCTCTCTGCAGACAGGGGATCACAGTCCTTCCTATGCTCTATTTTGCACTTCAAAAACTCCAGCTGAAGAAGGCTGTCTATGTTCTGTGTATGTCTTATTTGAGTTCTTTTTATTCTTACTATTTTCTCTTTGCATGGACAAAGTAGAACTTTCTCATTTCAAACAGAATTCAATGTAAAGACCCTCAATTACTTGTCTGGTTAAAAATTGCATGGTAACTCACTGCTTCACTGGTGCTCATTCTAGTACATAATTGTGCAATTGACTCAGTCCTTATAGCCCAGGAATCCTAAAGATTAGGAGTGCCTCTGGGATGCCATGTTCACATCTGACATTTTGGAAATAAAAATAATGTACTTTTACAATCACATGACTGCTGATAATTCATACAAGAGCATGACCAGCTGATTATGCTTTGTCTTAATGACATTTCTTGGAACTTTCAAAGCATTGCTGCTAAGATTTTCTAAATGGCACTTAAATATCTATGTAATCTCAAAATCAGTTTATAAACCCAAAATAGATTCTCAGTTCTCCTGTGAGATTTTATGTTAAAGTGATCTCTGTTGATGTGTTATCTCTGAAGAATTTTGGAAGTGTTATTCTACAGAAGACAATTTAGGAGATGTGTGTAGCTGAACATTTGCTGATATAGCTATATTTAAATTAGCTAGTTATATTTAACCATCCTGGTAACCTTACCCATCTACTCCCACTGCAGTTATAATTTAAACTAGGAAAAGAGTTCTTTGCCCAGAATAGCTCAAAGGTGTAGGCAGAAGCTTTATTGACAAAAGATATTTTCTTGGTTCACCAACATCTATATTCAGGTTTTTGCCTGATTAGCAATGCTGACTTAATGTGCTAAATGTGGACTCAGTTTGGTCTCCTGCTCTCTAATGTCATTGGCATAAAAACAGACTTGTTTTCTAAAACTATTTGCCACTTTCAGCTTTTGCTTATTAGCTAATTAGTTGGGGCTCTCGTTAATAGTCCCTGTGATACTGATAGAAGGAAAAGAAAACAGTAATCAAAGTCAGTGTACTGCTGGGGTGTGTGTGGAGCAGGCCAAGGCAATTAGACAGATGCCTACACATTCCTCTCCTTCCTCCTCCCTCCTAAATAAACAACTTTCTCTTCTTGTTTCTCTTCCAACTCTACCCCAAAAATATTACTTTAATCTTTTCAAATGAAAGCAAAATAATAAATCAAGCAACACAGTAATGCATCAATTGACTCTTCTGGGAGAAACTCCCCAGTTCACCCAGAACTGATATATTCTCAGAAAATATCTTCCATTTCAAATGTTTTCCCATTTCCAGGGGAGGTTATTGGATCTTCTTTACCTGTCCCTGACTGAAGGGTCCTGGTCTCTGCTCTGTCCCTCTCTTGTCTGGCCCAAGGCAGAGCAAACTTCAGCCCCACCTCTGCTGACAGACATTTATCTGATTTGTTTTCAAAGAACTGAAATGATGCTGGCTGCATGAAACTCAAGGGAGTCTAACTTGCTCTTCAGTATTCATATCATTTATAAATGCAATTATTCCTGAATCATGTCTAACCCAAATCTCCCCTCCTGCTTTTCAAGTCTGCAATTTCCATTCCTAGCCTAATGAGAGACAAAAATTTGTCATATTTATTCTGATTTTCTTTCAGCAGAATTTGTCTATTCAAAGACTCATTTCAGACATCTCCTCCCTAAATGACTCACTTCATTCAATCTCCTCCTTTAGTTATGTTTTCTTGCCCTCTAATCAGCTCATATCTTCCCTGAAATACAGTGCCTAAAACCACGTCCCAGTAATGCAGTTGACACTCGCTGTCAAGAAATAGAAGGAGAAAATGCTGTAGAACACGCTAATAAATCCTGTTTTCCTTTTTTTTTTTTTTTGCTATGTATTGGTACTCATGACTCATTTTCATAGGTTGTAAACTTGAAATTGTTTTCAGAAGTGAATGCTCACTTCTTATCTGCTGTCTATGAAGATGCTTTTTTTTCAAGTGTAGCGTTTATCCTTGTCTGTTTTAAATCATTACAGCAATCATACTGAATTCTAACCATGCCTTTCAAAGTGTTTGCAACCTCCTTTCAGCAGAATATTGTACCATAAAGAAACACCCTCCGTTGCATTAGCCAGCTCATTAATGAAAATTATAAATAGTGTCTGCACAAGAACAGGATCTTTAGGTCTGCAGGATCCTTAGCACATCCACCCTTTTAAGAGCTCCAGGAAATATTTTCATGTTGTTTTGACCACCACTGTCTGGGCACTTCCCCATAACCACATTTGCCTTCACTAATTATAAGAATCTCTAGGCATAGGTCAGAATGGACACATCAAAGGGGATGTGCTGCTGTGCTATGGAAGAAAGTTAATTTAAGTTACCTCTGGACAGAATAATGCTCTAGGAATAGTCATCATGTCCAAGGAAGTCACATCATGTTTTGTCAAACAGATGACTTTAAAACTCAAGGGAAATAATTTAAAAATAATCCTGTACCACAGTAACATGTCCAGTCTGTGAGAACTTTGATATCTAAGTCAAGTTTGTAGATGTTGCACTGCAGTCAGCTTGGCCCCTGGCTTTCTGAAGGCACTGCAGAGCAGCAGTGAGTAGGGCTTGGTTTTTGTGTGGTAACTACTCATATAATTCATTAGATACAACATGTATTACAAGGATACCAACTACTTTTCTTTACAGTACTCAGCATCTCTTGTTTCAGTGTAAGCAGATGAGGACAGAAAAAGAGGTGGGTAAAGAAGTGGCTGGAAGGACAGGTCATTGAGGGAGCACCAACACCTTTTGTGGCAGTAGAAAACTGACACCAACAGAAATAACATGTGCCAGAGCTGCTGACTCAGAAAGGGTTGTGAACTTCAGTTAAAATTCAGTGATGGGAAGCAGGAAATAGTGAGGCATCTAAGATTTTCACAGATTTTATTTATGCCAACAAAAGTCTGATTCACTTCTTCCCTGACTTCATGGGCTGAGGTAACACCTGTCACATGCTGAGCCCAAGATGATTTCAGTTGTACCCAAGTCATAAGAAGTATCTGTGGAGCTGCTTTGTGAAAGGTATCTTTGGACAAATGTAGAAACAAATTGGCTTGTTAGAGATGCCTGTAAAAAGTATCTATAACTGAAATATCACCAAATGACAACAATCCCTATGCTAACTGTATGCAGTGCTACTTTGCTGTTACTTTTAAAAGAATAGGGAAACAAAAAATAAATTACAGCATTATATAAAGTACTGGTATTATTGTACTTCAGTCTTCTGACTAGGGCTATTAATATCTTTCATAGCTCATGGGCCTAAATTCTTTTAGGAGTGCAGTATCAAATGAGAAGAAAATAAGATTAGAGAAATCTAACTTTTATTTCCTAGTGACTTTGTCTAAAAATAAAGTTTCCAATTTGAATTATAGACTCCTTTCCCTATTAATAAGTCACAGTCCTCACAGATTAGTTCAGTGGTAAATAAGATGAAAGCAGACATATATTTTAATTTAAAACACATTTATAAACCATCTTATATAGTGTTTGAAATGCATTACCTTGTTGTATTTGTACATTATGCTTCTTAATGCAAAATCCTTTGATTTTATGAGAAACAGAAACTGCTCTTTCTGATAAATATCCAATTTTATCAATAACAAGAGCAGTGCAACCCACAGCTCCAGTTCAGCTGTAACCATAGTAACTTCAAAAAGGGAAGAGCCTTGTGATTGTCAATGTGACCAAAGGTAAGGGAGTTCATATAGCTCAGAAATAGCTGTGCTTCAGCAAACCCTCTGAAAGTAAATCAGTTTTCTATACTTGAAACGTCAAAAATTAGAAAAGAAAACAAAAGGAAGGGCTAAAGGTATGTCTTTGGATGCGAAGGTGGTTGCCCAGAAGATGTTACTAGCAGCAGCCCTGGAGGCTGCCCAGAGTTGTGCTGTGTGTGTATTTTTGGTGGCTGGGGCAGAGGTCCCGTCCTACTCCCCTGGGCCAGGTCTGTGCTGTTCATTGTCCCATCAGAGCCACAGGGACAGCTGGGCCACCAAGCCCTGTGGCAGTGTCACTGTGCAGCTGGGCCACCAAGCCCTGTGGGCAGTGTCACTGTGCAGCTGGGCCACCCAGCCCTGTGGCAGTGTCACTGTGCAGCTGGGCCACCAAACCCTGTGGCAGTGTCACTGTGCAGCTGGGCCACCCAGCCCTGTGGCAGTGCCACTGTGAGGTCTCCGAGGGGCAGTGTCACTGTGAGCTCTCTCAGGGGCAGTGTCACTGTGAGCTCTGTGAGGGGCAGTGGCACTGTGAGGTCTCTGCTGGGCAGTGTCACTGAGGTCTCCGAGGGGCAGTGTCACTGTGAGCTCTCCGAGGGGCAGTGTCACTGTGAGCTCTCTGAGGGGCAGTGTCACTGTGAGGTCTCTGAGGGGCAGTGTCACTGAGCTCTCTGAGGGGCAGTGGCACTGAGGTCTCTGAGGGGCAGTGTCACTGAGGTCTCTGAGGGGCAGTGTCACTGTGAGCTCTGTGAGGGGCAGTGTCACTGAGCTCTCTGAGGGGCAGTGGCACTGTGAGGTCTCTGATGGGCAGTGTCACTGAGCTCTCTGAGGGGCAGTGTCACTGAGGTCTCTGATGGGCAGTGTCACTGAGCTCTCTGAGGGGCAGTGTCACTGAGGTCTCTGCTGGGCAGTGTCACTGAGGTCTCCGAGGGGCAGTGTCACTGAGGTCTCTGAGGGGCAGTGTCACTGAGCTCTCTGAGGGGCAGTGGCACTGTGAGCTCTCTGAGGGGCACCCAGAGCTGGGGCTCCCCAGTCCCTTCCCGAGCAGAGGCACCTGTGTGAGCACAGAGCACAGCCAGGAACTGCCCTGCCACCTCTGAAGGGAGCCCAAAACCCCTCCCAGAGTCAGGGCACATCAGAAACCAAATCCCTGTGCTAACACAAGACAACCCTTTCAACAGTGAAACAGGGAAATCTGTGCTGGTTTATGCAGATGAAGCAATAAGACATGATTTCCTTGACAATGTGATGAATTATGCCTATTGATCAGAATAACGAAACATGTAAATGCTGGTGTCATGTTTTAAATCAAGAATAATGAAGGGATAATTTGGGAATTTAGAAATTCTATTTCTTAAAATTTAACCTCTCACCTGAAATCTTAAAATGAGAAACTTTCTCTACTGAAAATGATAAATTATTGGAAGGAGATGTTCTCTCTAAGATGAATTATTTGGTCAAGAGTGACCTTGTTTTGTCCCTGAAGTTTCTAACTGTCCTTTCTAGAAACATGAAAGTCTTTTGAGGCATCACAAAGTATTGTTGATATTTAAGGACCACAGTCTATAATGGAAAACATAGGCCCAAGTATATCCAGTCCTAAATTAATTTCTTAATCTTAGTTCAAGTGTTAGTTTTCTATGGAAGAGAACACACAACACATAAGAGCAATTCTAAATTATTTTTATGCCAAAATACCTAGATTAAAAATCTTCAGATAAACTTCAGAACTAAAACCTGCAGAGTGCTGTGATATTATTTCCTTCTTCTTAGAAATACTAGAAAATTTTACCTGGCATATGTTTGTTTACTACCTTGAGATTAAAAATCTTTGTTTAACATGTAAACACCTACCAGTCATCTTTATTATCACAAATAAGGAGCTCAATCAAACCAACTTCTGTCAAGTCAACAAATCCGTTTTTAGCATCTTTTGAGACTTAATTGCTTTCCATAGCCAAGGGAAATTAAGTCTCTTTTTGAAATGAGTTCATAATCCTACACAGTGAAGAATTAAATGAAAAATCATGTAGCAAATCTGACAGAAATTTATTATTTCATCTTAAGACCAATTCATTGTTGATAACACTAACAACATTTTGCTAAAATTTTCTTAAAAAAACCCCAAATGAACCCTAGTTATCATAGATAAAATCTTTATACTGATTACTTTCTGCCCTAATATGTATCAGTTCTCTAGGGAGCCATATTTGAACTGATTTTGGAATGCCAGTGAGCTCTTTACACACTTGAGATTATACTTCACTAGCAAATCCTAAAACACAATGAAATATTTTCAGCAGTGTCAACCATTTAATTAATGAAAAGCTTATTTCAAAATTCTCTTAAGTCTTTGAGGGGCTGAAATTTATGGATAAGATTAGTGAACACATAAAACAACTTAGGATATTGTGAATTGATAGCAGAGGGAGCAGGACTGAACATTAAAAAACTCTTGGATGTGCACAGACTATATAAGCAGAGAAGTAATTAGAAACAATATTAATCTATGACAGTTTGTCACACTAAAAATAGTTTTCTCAACTGCAGCTTTAGCTTTTTAAGCCTGTTTAAAACTCTGGGAAAAGTAATCCTTGTAACTTATTCCTTACAGTGCAAGAGGAGCTTCTGTTTTGTTGATTCTTTCCCTCTTGATTGTTCTAGATTAATCAGTGGTGATTTAATACTCTTATAATCAAAATCAGTGCATTTGTCTTATACATTACTCATCATAAGTCAACATTTGTGAAACTAAATACTCTTGGACTGGGAAATGGGAAAAGAAACTAAGCCAGCTGCAAAACCCTATTCATAGCACTATCAAGAAATAGACTTGGAAATTGTAAGGATGCTTTTATTCCATAAGCAGTTTATTTTCCTAGGTTTTCCTTGTGCTTCCAACTTCTGTGTTTTTCTCTTGCTCTGAGGATAGGCTTCAATCATGTGCTGAATCTTATTAATATGGCTGGGTGACTGAAGAAGTGGCAGCATATTGGATGTGTTGATTAATTTGAGAACAACAATTTCATGCAGCTTTTACAGTAACCTTGCAACAACTGGCTTTGTAGAAACAAACTGTTTTATACTGTATTTTTAAGCTGTCAGAATGATAAATCACAAGCCCAAAATATTTTGTTAAATATTGAGACTTCATTTAAAGACTGGAAAAAATGTGTAGAACAATATTGCTTTTTCTCATTTCTTTTAAAAGTCGGGAATTTGAAAACTTTTTTCCTAAGTCTCTCAGAGAATCTTCTCAAGGGTAGTTTTTAAACACTAATGCAGAATTTCACATACATCACAAAATGTTTTCTGTTCTGTCTCCTATAACAGCTCAGCTGAAAATTTTGCAAAAATCCATTGCACCCTTGCAGATTTTGTATTTTGTCTTAGCAGATAACCTCTAAAAAATATCTGTTCACCTTCTCCTTTACTGTGTTCCCACAGCTGCAAATAGCAATACTTTTATTATCTGAGTTATTGACAGTTTCAACATAACAAAACCTGGACAGATCTATGAAAGCTAGGCTAGCTTTGAGATTAGACTGTTTTAATGAGAAGGTAGGACTAGAAGACCTCCAGACATCCCTCCAAATCCTAATGATTCTGTAATTCTTTGATTCCAAAATTGACTGATTCTGCTTCCCAGAGTTTGCCATTTACTGTAACTTTGGGCTTTAAATCTCACATCTGCAAATTCAAGTCAATTTCTTGGTATCTGGTTTTTTGAGTTGTATTTATCCTGAACATTGATATCACATAAACAGTATTTCTATGGCCAAACTGGAATGCTCCATTCCCCATATCTTTAAAGGGGGTTGGGTCACACATGGATGGGAGGTTGTGATTATTATCTGTGAGGCTCCAGCAGTTCTCATATCAGCAAGCAGCAGGTGGTGTCCTGAAGATCAGAGAACATTTTCCCAATCTTTTCAGTAACCTTAATTATAGAGTTTGTGATCTCAACCTAGGAAAACCAGCTACTAAAAGCCCACAAGGAATTTCAGGAGCTGACTTGGACTTTTATTGACTTATGATTATCAAAATACCAGGTATTTAACAGCTAAGGGAAGGAAAAAAACCCCAAGAACAGAGAACTTAGAACATTTCTATGGCATCTACAGTTCTTATTTACTCTTCTGACTTTTAAAAAAGTAATTTATTTGAAATGGTTACCTGGATCTGTGGCAGACATCAGCGATCCAAAAAATAAACAGTCAGTGAAGTGGAATTCCCATTGCTTTAACTGGCCAATGTGTACCATAGCCTTCACAAAGCCATACATTATCAACCTGTCAGGGCAAGGATAACACTGGTATTTAGACAGAGAATGTAATATTTATGTTTAATTTACAGTATTAAACAGGTTCTTATTCTCTTCAGCTTCTTTTCAATAAATGTATCACATGAATACTGAACATAAACTGGTATCATATAAAAATTCTATTTCCTGTTCAACTGTCAAATATTGTATTGAAATGTCAGAGACAATTCCAAATCAAAGGTTTTCTGGGTAATTTTCATCTGCTGTTAGCAAAGAACAATGGTTTGGGCTGTTTATTTTTCAAAAGGGAAGATAAGGTAAGCTTAGGAAGACATTATTAAGATGAATTTGTCTAATGTAGAACATTCAAACAAAGGCAGTTCTACTATCAGCTCTGTGGCTTGCTCTGTATTTCCAAATGAATTGTGTTATTCTATCAGCTTTTAAATGTTAGCAGCACTGAAAGTTCCACATAAGGTCTCTAAGTGGGCATATTTAACAACTAACAGTGACAGTGAGCCAACAAAGTCACATTTCAAAATGCACTGCTACAGCCTCACTAGTTTCACAGGAAATGTTATCTCTGGTTTATGTAACTAGATAGTGCTCTCTGAGATGTGTATTCAAATTAGAATCTTGAAATAACTTGGAAAAAAGAGATGCACTTGTTAGAACCTGTTGCAGATTTTTACAGTTATTATTCATGTTCAGTCTAGTTAATAAGAAACCCCATTACATTCAATGCCTGTTCCATAAACACACAGATTGACAGTTGTGCTCTTCTAACTCCAGGCTCTAAAACAATCAACTTTAAACAAGTCCCACGCATGCTCATCCTAAGCCTGGTTTTGCCCTCAGCTTTCCTCCTAAGGAGCTCCTGAATTCACATGAGCACCGACCTGAGGGACAGATAAAGCACAATTAACAAACAGCCCGAGAGTTAATTACCAATAGCTTTCAGATACTGCACCAAGCTCACTGTGTTGCACAAGGAGAGAAGCAGAGAGGTCACCACAGCCTTCCCCAGTGGCCCTGAGTATTTGTGTCTATATTTACAGAAGTTCTCTAGCAAACAGCGCACCGGCAATCACCCTACACCACTGTTTGCAGCTCTGGGTCTCCTTGATTGATGAGCTCACTTTCTCTCCTTTCCCAAAGAATAATGGCTCAAGACCTTGCAGTGAACTTAGTCTTCTTATCCCCAGAAAATTTTGTCAGCTCTAAGCAATGAGTCCTTCAAAACCTGACTGTGGTGCTGCTCTCCCAATTTTCAATTATATCCAAAGCCACAGTAATGGAAGTGAGCACAGCCAGGTCTTTTAGAAATAATTGTCTAAACCTACTTGCAGGTTAGACCAGAGATACTCTTCTCCCTAATTTAAAAAATATTTTAAAATATTAAATAAAAATAAGTTCTAACTATTTGGCAAATTTAGTACTGATAATTCTACATATTGAAAAGATGGATCCCAGTGGATACCTGAGCTCCCAGTGGTAATGATATTACACATCATCCATGCTGGAAACATAAGGAAAGCACACCCCAAAGACAGCAGGACAGTATTCCCAAGGAAATGTTCTGCACTGATGGTACTACTGCTATTATAAAGTAGAATTGGAAAAAAAAGTCTTATTGATTTTTAGAGCTGCTGTCATTTAATTTGACACATTTACTATCATTTTAGCAAATTTACACCAAATTTCAGTAAATGAGATTGCTTATTAACCAAATATCCATTTAATATATGTTAAAAATTTATGAAATTTATATTAGTAAGTTGTAAATAAATCAAAGCATTAGTGCTCTGAATTTCCTATGGAATGTTCCTGTCCCATGGGAACATGTTCCCACCCAGAGCTCACTGCTGACACAGAGCAGGCTATTGACACCAAGAGAGTCAACATAAGAAGCTCTGAATCTGTTGAGTAGGACAGCACTTCTATTTCCAATTTCTGTCTGTGAAATCATCTTTTTCACTAAAAGAGAATGCTAAATTCTATTTTTCATTGTTTTAGAATTTCAGAACTGAGATCTTCAGGGCAGTGTAAAGGAAACAGAACTTGAGTGGCAAATCAGTATAACTCCAATTTTCAATGTGGCTTTGAAAATCTAATTTTAAAATAATACTGCAAAATAATTTTATACACTTTTTGAAAACATTTTTTTAAAAACTTGTATTGCAAATACCTTGGTAAAATTCTTGCCTCTTAAAATGTGAGATCTTTATATCTGTGTTCTAAATGATCCTTACCTGATAGTTTTATAGAGTAAGAGCTACTTTCTGTATAAGCCTGGATTTTGCATTTATACTGTGAACAGTGCATCATTTAGAGCAGTGTATTTACCACAGGAGATAGTGTCCCTTCATTCTCCCCAGATGAAGCAGTGGGGAGGATTCTGTGTAACAAAAATAATGAGGCACAGAGCTGGGCAAGGACTTAGGAGAGGAGACTTCTGTTGAAAATCTGAGTCCTCAGAGCTGCTGCCTCAGGTCCCTGCTGCACTTTGATCCACAAAGCCTTTTAACTCCCAGGAGGTTTTTGGGGGTTTGTCCAGCACTGTGTGTGTCCAGCACGTCCTGCTTGCCTAGGGATCCTCTGGGATTCACAAACTGATGAATGGCCTGTCTGCAGTGAGAACTGCAGGGACATCCTGACTCTCACAAAGCCCAGAGCTGCAGGAAAAAGAGGTGGTTCCACTTTACAGTCCCTTTCATTCTACTCTGATTGAGCAGGACATGTGAGCCTCAGAGCCAAACCTTCCTTCACCCCATTTATTTTTCCTACAGATGCCAAACAGGGTCCCAGCTCCTACAAGCTGCTCCACCTTGCTCATAATGAGCCATTCTTCATTAAATTAGGCAGCTGGAATGTGCATGGATGTGACAGTGGGATGTGGTACCAGGCACCATGGGTCCTATCCTGGGTGCTGGAATTCTGACCTTAAGCCTACACTTTGAAGTCAAATTCTTTTCCCTCTGTCTCTCTAGCTTTGTGTGTCTCAAATTCTGCTAGGTGACAAAGCCAAATAATGCAAATTTTTTTTGCATCTAGGTATATATGTCTGTTCTAGAAGCTACATAGACTCAATACAGAGCAGGGAGGTGATTTGGAATTGTTCTACCTCCTTATAACTTCTTTTTGTCATGAATAAATCTTCAAATTCAGCAATGTATTTTTGTGATCAGAAAGCAGATTATCAGAAACATTATACTTTAGAAACAAATTGCAGCTAAGTTGATCAGTAATTAAAAGTTGCTGAAAACTTCTCAGTTGGACTTAGTAATGGTTTGGTTCCTCAGAAAATGTGAATAACTGATTTGTCATAGACTTGGAACTGTCATAAAGTAACAAAACAGAAGAATAAAATGCATATTAGCTTTGCTGCAGGGGCTCTGACATTTTCTACACCCAAACATATTTTTAAAGTCTGGGGAGGAGCCCATCAAGTTAGAGCAAGTATTTTACCACTTCAGCAGGAAAAGAGAAAAACAGTAATGTAATATAATGAAACACATGAGAATTCAGAATTTTCCAGATTACACAAATCTGGCACTCACAAAGTGCCTCATCACTAAAAAATGCTACATAGAATGCTGTCATTACACAGTAGAGGAGACACCATATAAATATTTGACTTGCTGAAGTAAGACTCTTCTGGGAACCATCACAATTTCCATATGAACCAGCAAGTAACCCACACAAACCACACAAAATCTCAGCCCAACAACACAAACCCCCCCTTTAAACTGACAAAACTAACAAAAATAGAAGTAAATAACAGACAGTGAAGAACCAGAACAAAAACTCTTCAAGGCTTTAATTATTCTGGGCATTGGGTTGTCCTTAGATTTTTGAAGCCAGACTGAATTTTGAAGCTCGTTAGTGTAAAATGTGGGGGTGAAGAGTCTCTATTTGTGCAGGGTCCTTTTTTTTTACCTAGCACAGTTCTGCAATGCTGAGGAAAGGAGTTTGGAAAGCACACTGGCTGTCTGTGTACTGCTGGGAGGTTCCAGTGAGTTTGTTTATAAAGCTGCTCTCCAGGAAGGCTTCTCTGGGACTGGGACATCGCTGGACTAGCTGCAGTTTACATGTAGAGGGGAAAAAAGAGAGCCATCTCCAAAGGCCTTTAAAGAGTAATTACTACACACAAAACTTTCTAAGTGCTCAGGAAGAGCTTTAGATGCAGCTCAACAGAAGCTTTTTTTTTTTTTTTTTTTTTTTTTTTGTGCAAGTGTTTCCTTTAGTAGCATCTGTTTCAAGGGATCTGAAAAGAGAGAGCAGAATTGCTTTGGGGGTTTTTGGGAAGCTCTTGTCAGAAAGCTCTCAATAGCAAAACCTCTCTTCAGCAAACTGCCAGTGGAAGAGAGATAATTGGTAGTTTTGGAGCAGAGGAAGTGGGGTATGTCTGATGCAGAATGGGGAGGCTGCAGGAAAGATGCAAAGGACAGAAGCATTGCAGGCGGTCACAAACAGGATCAGAGCACACTGGGAAGGGAAAAGAGGAAAAGATACCACAGTCTTCAAGACAGGGAGGCTGAAAGCCTGGCAGGAGTTTTGGTCCTCTGGGTGGCCAAGAAAGGCCATGTTAGTAACAGGCAGTGAGCACAGCACACCCAGCAGGCAGGCACACAGCAGGGCTGGGCTGTTCCCAAGGCAGAGCCTGGGAGCAGCACCCCTGGCATGTGAGACTGCAGGGGTGTCCAAAAGAACTGCTGGGAGCAGATCTAAACAGTGCACAAAGGGGACAAGATGACAGTGCAGAAGGTACCTTAGGTACATGTGAGATGACACAGATGCAAATTGAAAAAAATCCTTTAAATCCCTTGTGGTAAAAAATATGCCTCACTGGTGTAGTCAGGCAAGAAATCTGTGCTGAGCTTTGCCTCCTAAAAATCCCAGCCACACCTGCAGCTTGCAGGACCTGGCATCACAGCACCTATCCCTCCACAACAGAGCAAACTGAAAAAATTATGGCAATAAATACATATTGGCAGGTTAGTTTATAGGCTACTGCTTCTTTGAAAA